ACCCAGAGCCCCACCCATTACCCTCCCTCATATCCTAAACCCACCCAGAGCCCCCCATTATCCTCCCTCATATCCTAAACCCACCCAGAGCCTCTCATTATCCTCCCTTATATCCTAAACCAACCCAGGGACCCCCATTATCCTCCCTCATATCCTAAACCCACCCAGAGCCCCATCCATTACCCTCCCTCATATCCTAAACCCACCCAGAGACCCCCATTATCCTCCCTCATATCCTAAACCCACCCAGAGACCCCCATTACCCTCCCTCACAGCCCCTCTAACACACAGAGATCCCCATTATCCTCAGTCACAACACTTCCCTTACTGCAGCTTGACTGAATTTACTGTCAGGGTATTTATATCGGCAGACATCTTGTGCTATGATAGAAATTAAAAGTGTATATGCTGAGTCACTCTAAACAGAGCAGACTCCATTTTGTTATTTCCAAGTTAACAAAAAGACACAAGATTTCTATCTGTAAAACTAACCACTTTCCCAGACCTAAAGGAATGCATAGTATATACAAACCAAGTGATAAGGAGAACGGGGGTTGGACAGACTGTCTAAATGCTAATGGAATATAATCAATTCTAAACCCAGACATTTGTGACAGAGAAGATTAAATAATTAAATTTTACTGTCTATATATATATATATATAAGGTACCATTGTAAGTTTAAGGTTAAACTTAGTTCATGATCTGCCATTTTAGAAATTATAGCAGGATTTGCCAGACACATAGTCTGGACAAAACTTAAAGAAACCCTTTTGATCTGTGAAGGATACGTAAGTTATGGCCACTATCTAGATAGGCCAAAATGACGTCAAAATAGCCACCAGGAAAAGTTAACTCTTTCCTGGATAGGTATGTTTAGTGGGACAAGACTGCCCTCTATAGACCAAATAACTAAATTGCGATCTGGAAGATAACCACACCTCTAGTGCTTCTATTGGGTTATCAACTGATGACATACAGAGAGTCTGGCCCTTTAAAAGTTAAGACAAAGGGAAGATAGAGGATATGCAAGGTATGCAAAGGAGAAGGAAAAGAGGAGAGAGGAATTGGAAGTTTGGGGACTCCAACCTCCATGCAGAGAGACATCCAAATAAGTTCCTGAGACTACCAATCGGATGAAATATCTACTCAACTGGTAATTATACTGGTTTCATTTAATTAATTAAATTAATTAAAATGTATTAATAGCATTATATATGACTGGATAAAGCACGGTCAGATTTCCATATTAAGAAATCTTAGTTAACTAAAGAATATATAGTTATAAACATTCCATTCTGCAGGTGGAATTAAGAATAATTATATATTAAGGTGATATTATCACGTGTTAGCATACCGTTTTTATCCAGGTGTATTGATTTGCTCTAAATTAAGATAAGATATCTTTTAGACAAATTAAAATCTGCTTATATAATCATGGTAGATTCTCTTATTGGATGGTTCCAGGAAATGACTAATGAACTGGTTTAAATGTTATTTTATTTAAAATTACATAAGAATAGATCCTAATTATCTAGGAGGTCTAGCCAGCATTGAAAGGGTTATTCTAACTGTTAGCCAGGGTTTTATGGCCCTTCCCTGTGAAATGTTTCACTTTCAGTCTGTGTCAAGGATACCTCATAAATCGTCAAAAGTCTTGACAGGAAATGCTATTTAGCAACTGAAATCTGTATAGCCATTCCTTTGTATTGCATACCATTTTATATTGGATATTCATTGATTATTGTCACGCATGTTACATATTATTAATTAATTTATTATAAAATAAAAATCTATTTTTATACATTGTGATATTATTATATGAAATACTTCTCACTTACGATAACGATATTTTGGATCTGAGAATTGAATTAGTGGGCAATTCTCACTGTTACTATTATTATCCCATAAATATCCCCACATTACAGGCAGTCATTTTCCATTTCTGTCAAATTAGATCCTTAGTTGCAGGTTGGTATTCCATAGTGGGTGAATTGGTGCACTCTGTTGGGTGTTACCATATTGCGTTCGGATTGGAGCATTCGGTTGGGTGTTTGCATTTTCGGTATTGGATTGGAGCATTCGGTTGGGTGTTTCATTCATTTGATTCCAGGTTGCATACAATCGGAGATTGTATTGCAAAATGCAGACATGGATACAAATTTAAATAATGTGCACATTTTGCAGTTGGAATGGAGTGTCTCTGGACTGGTTTTGGTCAGACTTTGTAATACAAGTGAATAACCCTGCATAAGTCATTGATCTATACAACATGGATCCCTAGAGCAGGTCAACAGTGGTTAGACTGCATTTTCCTAGTGATATAATCTATAGCCAGAATTAGATATGTGAGTGATGCTATCGGATTTGATACATCTGTATCTCCCCTGCATACTTGAATTCTTCCTAGAGCAGGCACTGGCTGAATACATTGACTAAATGTGACCTATAGACATTCACAAGACATTAGGCGTATGATATTTTTATTACACACAGCAATATGCACATTCCTCACACCAGCAGCAGACAAGAGAATCCCGGGTGTGCGCGCACAGACGTTCACCGGCGCTGGTTCAATCCTGTTAGATTCTTCAGCTATAAAACAGAAGAATTACTGTGACTGGTTGGAAAGATATACCAGGGAGATTGTCAATCATCTTCACATAAAGAAATGCCATATCTTGTTAGGCATGAGAAGTGAAAAGTCAATGTTTAATTCCACTTACCGATGACAAGTTTGACTTTGGTTAAAGAAAAGGTACACAATGTTCCACTGTTGGGTGTTAACCACGTTAAGGGCCACTCCACTGCCCAAATAAATATATAAAACTACTGTTTAGTAAATATACCCAAAGTGAAGACATACATGCATGCATTTAAAGGCTGCGTGTTTTCATTTAGGGTTTATCTAAAAACAACTTGCAAAAGCCCTTCTAACCCCGCCCACACTTTCTGTAACTGTCCAATCACAGACTCCCAATGCAGCTCAATGAGAAGTCTTTGCAAGGCAGGTGCTCTGGGCAATTGCTGCCTCTTTGGTTTATCTCCACTGAGCTAAACAAACCAGGAAGTAACAGGACCATTTGTATGATTGACTGTCAAGTGTAACAAGGTTAATTTATAAAATTGATAATTTCTATTGAAATCTACTTTTGTAAAATGAAAAAAAAAAAAAAAAAAAAATTTTACTCACCGTAAATTTTTTTTCTTAATATGGTGGCAGTACGTATGGGTTGTGCTTCCTAATTGGGACAAGCATCTGAACAATAGGAATTAAGAAAAATCACTCCCCCTTTACCCTATAAAGGGCTTCCCCCAGCAAACCCACCTCAGTTGTAGCAAGAATAAACACCCACGCCACACATCGCAAGCAAAATTTGGAATTCAGAGGGAGGGAGATTTGTACTGCCACCATATTAAGAAAAATATTTACGGTGAGTAAAAATGTCTGTTTTTTCTGACATATGATGGCAGTACGTATGGGATATAGCAAGATCCCCAACCGGGTAGGGCTTATGCCTCAACAGCTTGTAGTACCTTATGCCCCAATGCAATTTTAGAGGAAGAGAGTATCTCTAGCCTGAAATGCCTGACAAAGGTGCTAAAAGATGACCAAGAAGCAGTCTGGTCGATTTCTTCGGGTGAAGCAAGAGCATCAAATGTAGGATTCTGCCTCCAACCTTCTTGGCTTTAGAAATGCTTACCAAAAATTGGACCTAGTTCTACCACCAGGTAAAAATGACTTGTCTTGAGGCAGAGCTTTTTTGACATAGGTTATAAGAGGAGTGATGGGCAGAATACACTAGCCCTAGGGAGTGAAAAAATGGAAACAATAAGGATAGAAAGACAGGTAGGAGAGCTCTACTAGTAAAGGGAAGCCCCCATAAGAGCCAAGAGAAATAAGTGAATAGTCGTAGGTAGGAAAGCCTACACGTACTAGGAGATCTCTTACCAGGTGCTAAAAACTAGTAAAAATATTATAAGCAGAATTAAAACATAAAATAACAGCTCTAAAATGATCTGTTACAAAGCAACAATAGATGGATAAATGTATGTGCAATAGGAACCACTTTCATTCAGCTGGTGTGGTATACGTGTGCTCACTAGGTGGCAGCCTTGTAGCAAAAACCCTTTATTGGGGGGGAATCGTAAACTAAACAGTGCGTTGCCAACACAAAATGGTCTTCATGGGTTAAATAAGAGTAAATCCTTAAAAATCAAATGGTAATGTGTTAACACAAAGACCGTGAAAAATGAATAAATAGTTCAGACACCTTAATGGTTCAATAGAATCAGATAAAAAAATTGTGATAAGATGAATAAAAAAAGTCCAATTAAAAGTGTCTAAAAAACAAAGTTCGTGTAGTGCAAGGGAAATTGGTGCCACTATCACATCCAACACAGTGTGCTACTGCCAAATGAAAATGACAGCAGCAATAAAGTGTCAAGTTGTAGATACAATGTAACCAATAAGGGTATATATATCAATAAAGTATTGGATAGCAGCAGAAAATCACCATTGCAGGTACATGGTAATAAGATCTCGAAGTGATATGGAAATTATGGTAAAAAGCTGGTTATGCTTTCTGGTAATAAAAAAATTCACATTTATTAAGAATAAAAGTTAAAATACACTCACAAAAATAAAGTGCCGTGTACCAGCAAATAAATCTTATCGTATAAGCAAGAACGGGTGATGGTCGTCGGGCTGTGGAAGATGAGATGATCTTGCTGTGCTGAGAGAGGTGAGACACCCCTGTGCATTCCACTTAGTGCGCCCGATCAGCGTTCCACGGTTGTTCGGTAGCTGGATCAATGAACGCGTTTCGTGACAGTTCAGAGTCACTTCTTCAGAGGCTGATGAACTTCCGAGTCTCATGCTCCGTTTAATATAGTGATCGCTGGCAGCTATGTTAATTGACACCTGCTTGTAAATTGCTAAATAAAGTCAGTTTAAACATTCGGTAAATAGAAGTACCAACATTAAAAAAGATCTGTTGTAGACACCAATTAAAAGTATAACTTTTGGGCAGACTAGATGGGCCGAATGGTTCTTATCTACCGTCACATTCTATGTTTCTATAGTAGTATAGTCCCATATTATATAGTGTTCCCTGAAATTACCATGCATGTCTAAAGTGATTAGAAGATCGTATTAGAACAAGAAGTTACGTTCCGGTGCTACGTGACTGATGTGATAAGGGAAATAGATCGATCAAGCAATAAATACCTACGTCAATATATGTGACTGAAATGACCCTTATAGGGAATAGATGGAAGAGTAAACAAATGCTGGGACCTAGAACAAATATATCATCCTGTCAAACCTTACAGGAATATTAGCTCTTACATTAAAATGGAAGTGAAATGGTGAAAGTGTGAATCACACTGATAAGACTATTTTATATTTGATACTCCATATATCAACCTTCGTTCAGTAGACAGAAGGAGATGAAGATCACAGAGATTATAGATGTGACAGTGTGCGATCTTCATCGGGTGAGCATTTCCACCGCTGTGCGCAGGCCTGACATGTACTCATTGCGTCCTCAGGCCATGCTTTCTTCCTAATGCCAGTACCTACTCTGCATACAAAGATCCTGGTATTGAAGCTCCGTACCTCCGCAGAAGGAGCATGGCCGCTCAGCCTGCCACACAGACAGCTATCAGGCCGCATCCACCAGGCATCAACCCATGTGCCACACCTCCAAAAGATGCCTGATCCATGGAAGAACTGAAGGTGGGTTTGCCGGAGAAAGCCCTTTATATGGTAAAGGGGAGGGACTTTTCTTAATTCCTATCTCTCAGATGCTTGTCCCAATTAGAAAGCACAACCCATACGTACTGCCACCATATGAAAAAAAAAAAAAAAAATTATACACTTTTCACACACAACGATACTAAAGTGCTTAAGGGCAGTGGTTCCCAACCCAGTCCTCAAGTACCCCCTACCAGTCCATAATTTAGGGATTACCCAGTTGTGTCTGAGGTGTTTTTAGAAAAAAAAAAAAAAAAAACACAACCTTAGACAACAGGGTAATCATGTCCCAAGAAGGGAGTACTTGACGACTGGGTTGGGAACCACTGCTTTAGGGGTATACAGTGTCCCTTTAATAAGTAGCACAAAAAAAGCCCTCTCCCCAAGTTTTAAGTTATG